TAGCTTTCGTCTCTAAGGAAAATTAATATTTCTTCAGTATTCTGTGCCATTAAATCTTTGGACTCTATTCATTCCTCTCAGTATAGTTTACTATTGGTGATTCCCACATCATCCATTTTGCGTCTACAAACTGTAATAATAATATTTATTTTAAGTGCTCGATATTTTAAATTATTTCATCTGCACTGTCTTCGTATTCCCTAGGTGATAGTGTGTTTGGTGCAATATAGCAGACCACTATGAACTATTCTTCTTAATCTATTCCGAGAATACCCTTTGCTCTTTTTGCATGTTTTACTCTTATCGGTCTATTCCATATTTTAATTGCTATATCCTTTCTTTCGTCAATTATCCAATCTTTTTTGAAGCTTTACTTTTGTTTGATTCGATAGTGTCTATATCGGACAGAGTTGTAATTATCCTCCTTTTTTAGTGTAAATTGTACATATGGATCATAGCTATTGAAAATTTCGAGCACCTATATTCAACTTATTATTAGGTATTTCTTTATGAAATGTAGGTTAAAGGGAAGGACTGGGTTAACAATGTCTAACACTTCATCTAAGACATAATTTCCTAAAATTTGTGAAATTTTGCTACCCATAGGGGTACCAAAAATTTGTTTATATATTTTAATATTGAAAGAATAATAATTACTCTGAAAAAGAAATGTTAAAGTTTCAAAGTAATTTTTCTTAAAACTTAAGGATAGTTACCTTTGTGTTATTTTATTAAAGAATAAAGTTGTGTCGAGGAACCATCTGTATTGATTTGAATTTTTCTCTAGAATCAAATATCGATGTTGAATTTTGAATATTATGTTTTAGATCTTTTTGATATTTTTCTGTTGGATCAAATTTAATTATGCTGTAATAATTGCTAGCTTGTAGAAATGAAATAGTTTTGTCAATATAATCTATAATATTAATAGTAATTAATGTATTTCCATTATCAACATGAGTGAAAATAATATCATGCTGTACAGTATTAATTATATTAATTACTATCTTGATTTGGATTGTAATTATGTAAAAATTGTTTTATAATGATATGTTTGCAGTAGGATATTTGTGAGACAAAGTGAATGAAGTGTATGAAACTTTAAAAGCGATTTTTGTTTCTATTCCTAAAAGTTAGAAGTATTTACCTTACTTTAAATGCTATTTTATTAAATTATGTTCTGAATCAGAGAAAATTGTGGTAGTTAAGTTAACAAATCTCTTAAAAAATTGATGCCTAGACATCTTATTTGTGTTCTGCTCTGAGTTTTGTTTAGGTATTATGAATTTTTTAAAAATAAGTGATTTAAATTTTTTCCGTTCAGTAAAAAAATGTTTATGAATAATTTGACAAATCTGGCCCCTAATGTCTTTATTTAAAATTTAAAATTATAAAAAATGTAATCTGTGAGATAATTTAGTATGTACTACCTTAGTGTATATGTTGAAGCAATCTCTTTTTGAATATTTTTTTTTGTCTTTTTATTTTTTTTTTAAATAGAAGTGTATATGAAACTCTACCAAGTTTGGTTTTTCTCATTTAAAAAATATGGATTTTCATCAGGCAAAGACCGAAACAATTAAGAATAATAATTGTACGGTCGCAATATGTGAATTTTCCCAAAGAAACATTTTTTATGGATCGTCCCTTATAACATCCTGTGTAAAGAAATATATTTCTTACGAATAATATATTTTTTGTTCTTATTAATTATTTATCCAATTAATTAACCCATTAACTAGATTTATTACAGCAGATGCAACTTATATAAATTTATATATAATACGCTGGTTAAACATGAAAAAATAACGCTAGCATTTTTGCCAGACGTGTAGGTATAGGAATCTAGGTAGATAGTAAATATTATCATCATCCAGGTACCTGGCAACGTTCCAGACATTTTTCCCGCTCCAAGTCATTCTTTAGGTAATTTCGAGTGCAATATTTAGAAATTCGTGTATCAGTGATACGAACTCCCATTGTGCGACATTCCTTATTCGAAACCAGTGGCGTGTAACGAACAGTAAGTTTTATTTGATATAAAAAAGATAATTTTCCTTGAATTAATTAAACAATTATTTGAATTAGTTTTTTTCCTATCAAAGTGTTTAGCATTATTAAGTTGAAGGAACAATTTTTTTATTTAATTACTCAAAGTTTTGTTTTGTTTCTGTCAACTCATCAAACACAAATATTTCGGATGTTGGAAATTTTTCAGACTTTGCTCACAGTTTCCATGGATTCAGCCTAAAATTTTTATTACTATATAGGTATATTTAAATATAATTCTATTGTGCTGGTATACCGGACGTCTTAAACTGTTCACAACATGAAATTTTTAATGAAACACAATTTATGAAGGTTTTTAATATGTACTTTATCTAAACTCAAATTGTCTATAAGATATAAGCTTCGCAAGTTTAATTTTTTAAATTCCCCCCTTTTTATTATGGGGTAGTTTTATCGATATTTTCATCCCATATTTAAGTACTTTGCCTAGTAGTACACATTTTTGTAAATAGTAAAAGTCTTGTGATAATTTCTGCTGGTGAGGGTGGTTTGGTAGATGGTTTATGAGTTACAGGCTAGAAACAAGAGTTCTCACTGTTTTCATGTTTCCTTTAGTCTTTTTGTTTCTGTGTGGTTTTGTAGTACCGATTGACCCTATCATCACTTTGGGGAATATAGGTTCTTTCCGTATTTAAAGATACTCGTAACATATAAGTTGATACTCCCACTGAATATTGTCATAAAAACATTTACTGCAATTACTTTTCTGATTTTGTCATTTCTGGATAATTTTAGTATCCCTTTAAATACTCCATCGGTTTACTTCTAGAGTCTATAGATTTAAATATTTCAACTTTTTTCTTCACTTAAATTAGGTCGCCGATTTCTTAAAAAATATCTTTTTCGTTTTTCGAAAATTTTCGACATAGACATTAACTTACATTTTTGTAACGACTGGTGAAAGACTGTCTAGAAGACCTGACAGAGCTAAGTAGTCAAAATAAGGTGACCTTAGCCTGGGTTCCAGGCCATGAGGGATATCAGGGCAACGAAACGGCCGACGAATTAGCCCGAGAAGGCTCAGATAAGGCCATGACAGGCCCCGAACCCTTCTGTGGAGTTGCTAAGGCATTGTGCAATGCATCCATTAAACAATGGATGCAAAAAGAGTCTCAGGAATGGTGGAACAACTATCCAACACTGAGACAGGCCAAACAGTTCATCAAGGAACCATCGGCCAAGTTTACGAAAGACCTACTGGATCAAAAGCGTCAAATCGTTAGGATAACAGTAGGCCTTCTCACTGGACACTGTCGCCTCAAAAGGCACATGAGTGTCATAAATCTAGCAGAAGAAGCAACTTTGTGCAGATTCTGTGAAGAAGAAGAGGAAACATCATTCCACGTCCTGTGTCAATGTGAAGGCTTGGCTGGAATGAGGTTTCTAACATTGGGCGAAGAAAAGCCAATTGCATGCAACTACATGCGGGAGCCACTGTCAAAGCTACTAAGTCTAATAAAAAAGACCAGGCAAGACGACATACTCTAAAACAAACGGAGTCCCACAATAGATCTGAAAAGGTCGCGGTGGACAAGGACAAATAACGTCCAACTCCTAATCTAATCTAATCTACATTTTTGTACCAAATTTAATAACTGCGTGTTGATCAAAGTTGTTTAAAAGGAATACCATATTCAGTTAACCAGTTCTCTATATCAGCTTTTTGCCAGCTGTTGTCGACATAATAATTCTAGAAGTTTCTTCTAAGTTCATTAAAAGCTGATATTCAAACCAATGCAAAAAGTTTTCTCTATTCATTTTATCACCATCCCGTGTCTTAGAAGAAACTCTGCTCCATAAATAAATTCAGAAGTCGTATCTGCATGGAATACCATACAATGAAAAAATTAAGCATTTTACCAAAATTAAACTTATTAGAAAATCGTATTACCTATAAAGTAAATACTAAATTTAAAAATAATTATTGTTTAAGTATCTTGCACCACTAACTTTGGTTTTCCTTACACTTCTCTTATCAGAGTCTTGCCAGGAACGTCCAACTGTACCATATTTAAATATCCATGTCACATCCAAAAAACAAACTGATAAATGCCATCCCTTTTGTTTTGAATATATTCGTGTAAAAAATGAACACTTTTAAAAGCAATATGTGGTAACTCCATTAAACCACGACGTAGATCATCTATCTTGTATTTAAAACCAATTTTTTTTTAATTTTCCATAGTGATGATATAGAACTACTGAGAAGTTCGCGCTCTTGAAGTTTTTGTTTTGTTTGTAAGGTTATGTGTTCCTCTGAAAAAGTACTTATGTTAAATGATGTGAATATATTATGTTTGAAACACACTCACTGTTTCTGTATTTACTTTATATAGCATAGGTACTAAGACTTTCAAGAATCTAACTCTACATTTAACCTGTTATTACATATTAAAAATATTTATTTATTGGATATAAATATCCTTACTTACGTCTCTCATAGAAATAAGTGGAAGCAGTGGCCCTTTATTTTCACTTTCTCGTTGAAAATAGTTTAACAGAGTTGTTACCATTTCTTGAAAGAAGTTTTGGAAATTTTAAAGAAAACTGAATACAAATCAAACGAAATGGCCTAACCTGCAAAAGAATGTTTATTGATGAATCAAGTATTTTCGCTATCATAACGGCAACTTCGTAAAGTGCTGCCAATCTTTAAAAGTACATTTCTCCTGAACGTTAAGTTTAAATCGTATTTGCTCTTGGTTGTTTCGTGGTATTTCGTTAACAATAGAAATAACTAGAAATGACGTCACTGTCTTCTTTTGGAAATATAAATTAGTGGCCCTTCTTGCATGGTACTTTCATGTCGAATCAAATGTACCATCATGCTGTTATCTAATCAATGTCAAGATATATGCTTCGATATAAAAATATTTTGAATATTTTTTTTGCTATTTAAAATAACTAATATTTTTCAACATTTTATTAAATATTTTTTTAGAAATGCTAGGCTTACAATACGAACCTCAATATGGTGTGACCAAATCCGCATGTTGGCCATATTCAAAATACGTCCCTGTGGATATTCCAGATTACAAAATAACCAGGCCGTTGGACTATTACGGTTCATGGCCCGAATACTATCCCATGTATTTGCCTATACCGGAATTTAGGACTTATTTGAATAATCTGTTGCGCAGAGATTTAAGGGTAATATATGTCAATCGAAATTATTGAAATTTATTGTTTAAAAGGTTCTTCTTTTTTCTATAATTGACAATTAAAAAATATTGAAATAAAATTAAATATTACATTGTATGCTTTTTAATAAAGGGTCATAAGCTAGTAGGATTCTTTTGGGATAGTCACATTCATAGCGTCGGCAGAAAAATGTAGAGGAAACCATTAAAAAAATCGTCAAATTAATTGACTTTATTAGATTAAAAGTTTTTTAAGAAATAATTACTTAACAAAATGAAAAGTCTCCGGACGCACATGATCGCATTTAATATAGTGGTCAGTGGTGTGCCGATTTAGGGAGAAAATAAAGGAAATATTAAAGAAATAATAATTTCCAATTCAATTTCAGTAAAATATATCTTTGGATAACAAGGAACATAATTTTTCTTAAATATATATTTCCATATATATATTTTTATTGTGACGTACATATTTGCTGAAATTAAATGTTTGTTGGATGAGAAAATAATGCGAAAAAAAATTATTTGTCAATTTATTGTTAAGAGGCGAATCTTTAAGCAGTAATTTTAATAAATATTTAAATTTTTATATTATTTTATTTTTTAGCTGCGACAGTATCAATTTACCCACACCTATTGGTAATAATATTCGAAAACGAAAATTAAATTAATGTTAAATAATAAATATAATATGTACAATTGGACTAATTTTGAAAAAACGTGATATTAATGTAGACTGTAAAATTGTAAATTTGATATAAATAATATATACTTATTTTTAACACAATATAGAATTTTATTTATAACTACACATGAGTATATTAAAACATAAATAAAAAATAAATAATTTTTTATTGGACATGGAGAAAAATCTGTATAGTATACATAGCCAAACATACATTTCTAAAAACCGAATAACAATTTATATTTAAGTAGTTGAGATTTATTTTAGTCATAAATATATAGGTATTTAGTAGATTTAACTAAACTATGTTGCTGATACATAATTATAGTACAAGAAAACATGTTTAAAATGATAATATTTTTGATTATTTTTATTCCCCTTTTTTCTCCGTGTACAAAGAGCACATAGATTTTTGACTTTAGAATATTACGATTTATTTGAGTCAATCTACCTCAATAAACCATTCATAATAAGGCAGATACTAATACCTTTTACGTTTTTAAACATGTATAATAAAAATGTTAAAATTGGTAGTTATTGCTTATGAAAAATTATAATGTCGTATTAACATTGATTTATTTTATAATGGGCGGAACATAAGCTACATTTGTGGCATAAATAAATGTTAACAGTTTTATTTTTATTAAAAATATTAAAGACACGCCAATTTGACAAAAAAAGTTATACTTGTTATTAACCCCAAAAGTTAACAGTTTCTGTATAATCGTATTTTAGAAATCATTATTTCATATAATACCTCAGTCTAGCTGAGCCCTGAGTTCCAACCAAAAAATTGATCAAATAATCCAAATATAAAAATAACGGGATCCGGACAGTTTTTCGAATGATAATTATTCGAACGACAGTTCTTCGAACGACATTTATTCGAATGGACAGTTATTCGAAAAGACAATTCTTCGAACTGATAATTTTTCGAATGTACGATTCTTCGAATAGACAATTTTTCGAAATAAGTTGGTTTTATTTTATATAATTTAATTTTAATTAGTATTATAATCTCATTGAATTTTGAGAACAGGTAATCTTCTAAGTAAGGTTTTATTTTATGTAATTTAATTTTAATTAGTATTATAATACATAATAAATTTAGTTTTGAGAAATTGTAATCTTTTAAATAAGGGTTTTATGGTTCAGATTAAATGCCATCCCTCTAATAAATAAGCAGGTAATTATTATGACATTATTATGACATTTTGACATTGTATTCAGTCTGATTTTAGTGTTTATAAAGATGCCTCTCGAATTCCTTTTTAGTCAAAAAGGAAAAATTTTGAACGGATTTTTATTCGTTAAAGACAAAGCCGTTGATGAAAAAACATATTGGAAGTGCGAGTTCTTTTTGTCTAAGAAATGTAAATCGCGAGCAATTACAAGCCATGATGATGTTTGCAAAGAGACTTCTCACAACCACCCCGCGGATGCAGCAGAAGTAGATGCCATACGTTTTAAGAATAAACTGAAGGACAATGCTCAGACAACAAGAAACACTCCACACTACCTAGTATTGGCACTATCAAGTGAAGTGGACAAACTAACAGCAGCCAAACTAAGTAAAGTAAATAGTTTAAAGCGAACAATACGCAGGGAAAGAGTGAAAGAAAACATGGAACCCACACAGCCGAAAAGTCTAGAGGAGTTGTATCTACCTGATTCTTTTAAAACCACCACAAAAGGCGAACCATTTCTACTTTTCGATTCTGGAAACATTAAACAAAGAATTCAGATTTTCAGCACGAAAGACAACCTGGATTATTTACAAAGAGCTGAATACATATACATGGGTGGAACTTTTAAGGCTGCACCTATGCTTTTTTAACAGCTCTACACCATACATACATTTATAAACGAGGAATCCGTACCACTGGTATATGCACTTCTACCTAATAAATCAAAAGACTTTTACATAAAGTTAATTTCGGCCCTTAAAGATCTAGCACCAGCTCTCAGACCGCAATCGGTTCTAATAGACTTTGAAGCAGCGATGATAGGAGCGATACATCAAGAATTTCCGAATGCAACTGTACAAGGATGTTTCTTCCACTTTTCACAGGCAATTTACAGAAAAATTCAAACAGCTGGCTTTAAACAGCGATATGACACCCACAAAAACTTTGCACTGCACATGAAGATTTTAGCTGCATTAGCTTTCGTACCTACAAAATACATACAGCCATTTTTTAATGCATTAAGCGATGATTTTCCAGAAGAAGCTACCGAGGTTCTGGACTACTTTGAGGAAACATGGATTGGGATGATTCGTCGCGGTCGTCGAAGGTCACCGTTGTTTGATTGGGAAATGTGGAACTGTGTTAATAATGTTTTAAACAGTCAACCCAAGACTAACAACCACATTGAAGGTTGGCATCTTGCCTTCGAAAGCCAACTTTCGGCTAGCCATCCCACAATATGGAAGTTTATTACCGCGATTCAACGCGAACAATCCTTAACTGAAATGAGAATTTCTCAATTTTACTGTGGAACTCCCGCTGTGCCGAAGAAAACCTTACAATTAAATATTAGATTACAAAATATTATCACTCAGTTTTCTCCTAAAGACCCTATAGAATACTTAAATCGTATAGCTTGTAATTTGTCTTATAAATAAGTTCCTCGTTTCTTTTGTTATATAGTGTATTATAAATAAGTCATGTATTAAAAAGAATTAATTGGAATAAAATCATTATTTTTACACAAAACGCTTTTTACTTTTGACGTTTTGGTGTCGCACCTGTGTCAGGTTATCAAAAAATTAAATAAAAAAAATAAATTATCTAAATTGAATTGCAGGTGCGACACTGAATCTTTTTTGTTTAAATTACCTACACTTTATCATTCCTCAATAATGTATTTTCGAAAAATGGTCTGTTCGAACAATGGGCTCTTCGAAAAACTGGCCGTTCGAAGAACCATCCGTTCGAATAACTGTCCATTCGAAAAACTGTCCTTCGAAAAACTGTCGTTCGAAAAATTGTCATTCGAAAAACAGTCCTAGATCCAAAAATAACAACTAACGCCACCCTTGCCTTAAATTAATTTATAAGTTCCGAAATAAATAAATAGCTATACATATTGGTAGGTATCTGTCTTTTTTACATGTATAAACGACGAACGGTTTAAATTTGAATGCAATTGCAATATGTAGCTCTAAAATGAAGAAAATTTTACACTAAACGATATTTGAAATCTAGTCTTTGTTCTGTTTTATAAGCGAAAATGTCAATAACTAGTTTATTGAATTCTTCAATGTTGTTGGGAAACACTTTTTCAGCTAATAACATTCTCAATGCACTTAGTCTTCTTTCTTTTATTGAGTTGCGCAAAAAAGTTCTTATATTCTTCAACATAGAGAAGCATCATTCAGCTTCGGATATTGACATAGATGCTGCCGCACTTAAACTGCTAGCAGCTTAATAGTTTTTTAAAAATTGAACCTCATATCTTCCTGTAAAACTAATGATAAAACAGGAACGGCTACAGAAATGGTTTGCAATTCTTCTTATTAATCGCTTGCAATTGCTTAAAAATTATTTCTATCTGTGGCATGCTTTGGGAAAAACTGTTACTCAAAATATGATTCTGTAATATTAGTTTATATGTACCGGCTTGCTCAATCGTAGAATTCAGTTTAATATTTTTATTTTATCGTCCTCTAAAATAGCCATAACCTGTATATTGGTTAAGCTTATTTCGGTACTTATAAACTGTATTAACTCCCCGTAATTGAAATTTCCATCTCGTTTGTAATGATCATGGTAATCGTGGTAATCGTGTATGAGCTATATCATCCAATACGTTTGTTCTTTGAGGTTTCAATTAAAATAACCAAAAAATCCAAAAAGATGCATTCATTAAAGCTGCACTGCTCATTACAGGATATTCTAATGTGCATAGAAATGTACATAATTTGCAAAAGTATCTTTATTTACTTTTTGTACTTCATTTACACCTCCCCTCATTAATAATGCTCCGTCATAACTTTGAGTGATTAACTTAGTTGGTGTGTCATTAATTAAAGGACCAATTTCATTTAAAATGCAATTTGCTATTGAACTGGCATTGTGTCCGAGAAGATAAAAAAATTTCAAAAGTGTTTCTACTGTTTTTTTGGAGGCGATGTTTGGTAGAATAATGACTAATTGAAATTTTTTAGCAAGATCCTCAGTTTCGTCGGCAATTATAGCTACATAATTCGTTTTTTAATTTCTTTTGTCACTTCTTCGTGGTAAACGCCCACCATGCAGTCCAATAATTCTTCGTTTTCATTATGACCTCGCAATTATAATTCTAATGCAATACAAATTCTAATACAGTTAATAATTATGTTTAAAATTAGGTTTGGTTTATTTCTTACAAATGAAAGTTATTTCATCCATAATAAAGACAATCATTTATTATTTATTTAGTTTATAAAATTACAATCTAAAATTCCAAATAAAATATACTAGAACCACCATAAATTCCCAATTTAGACACTTTATAACGATAACAAAACTTGCAAAAACAATGAAATAAAAACATCATCAAATTAATCGATCCAAAAATACATAACCCACATCTCAATATCAAAATCCAAAACACTGACTCACACACACAGACACACACACCTTGATTTATTTTGAACGCAAAATATCTAAAAATATCCCCCCACCCACTTTCCAAAATTTCATATTATGATTCAACAAAAGTATTAATATTAACGTATCGTGTGTTAATTTACATAAAACAAAGTGTAAGGTACTTAAGTATGATGAAAGAAAAATTAGATAATCTCTTGGGTACGAGCCAAAAATTCCTCGGTATAATTTTGGGTAATTTTTGGATAAAACCATTAGTGATTTGAGTGTGGTACAGAAAGGTGTGCTAACTAGTGGGTGGATTTTGCACTAAAATCGTAAGTATTTTGACAGTACTAATTAAATAGTTTTATTTAACATTTATTGATAATGTTAAACTGTATTCATATTTAGTTGCAAATTTATGATATTATTAAAATTGTTCAGCAATAAATATCTCAAAATGATTGCTAAAAATTGATCAACTTTTTATTTACTTTTTTATTTATTATTATAGTAAATAAATCTAATACATTTTTATGTTTTTTTTTAAAATAACATACCAATTTTAATAATTTTAAAATTATAATTTCTTTGCTTATAAACATATTCACTAGATGCAGTTTTGTAATATGGAGACCATACAGTTATTAGAAAGATTAGACAAAAACTATCATTTTATTCAAACAAATACTAAAAGTTCTTGAAAATGTCACTTCAATTTTTTATGCAGAATAAAATAAGAATTTACTTTTAGAAGCTAAAATTAAATTATTTACAATGATGATTAAAATCTTACAATTTTACGTAGATTTTCATTTACGTGAATACCTGTCAGAAACAGTTATTGTGACACAAATTGAGGAATCAATTCATCAATTAACAGAAATAATAGAAGTCTGTAAAATATAATGATTTTCTCGTTATTATTTACTGCATCCTGTTTACTAATACTAATTGTTTTTATTTGCAAACGTATTGGATAAATAATAAATATACAGTGAGAACAAAAAAAAAACATTTTTGATTTTTAAATGGAAAAAAACACTAACTTTTTCTTTATTGCATCTGTGAATCAGTAATAAATATACAGTGAGGATCAAAAAAGCATTGTTGATTTTTAATTGGACAAAGAACACTAATATAAATTATTTTTGATTTTTAATTAATAAAAGAATTCTTTTTTTTATTTGTATAAAATTATAGAAATGTAATTAAAAATTTTTGTTAGAAAATGTATATGGGACTAGAAACAAGATACGATCCTATCCATGGATACAACTACACCTACTGGCCGGACTCGAAATATTTCAGAAATTACAGATTTTCTCCACCCATTAGCTGGGCGGATCAATGGACAGAGAGATCCAGGGTTTGGTTTCCATACTATTGGTCAACAAGAAGACTTTTTCAACACTATATGGACTATCAACCATCTACAAGGTCACTAAGAGTTCAACGAGTAAGTAGACATTTATTTTTTAATTATCAATTGAAAATTTTATTTTTTATAGTTTAATTTTGTTTTATTGCAGATAGATTTAAAGTATTTTTCAAATTACTTTTTCTTAAAATAATTTTCAATACATTCATTTATTATAAAATATAATTTTTCATAATTTTTCTCTTTATTTTAGCTAAGAAACGACTTATATTTTTAGAAGAATTATATAAACACATACGAACATTATGGACTTTTAATATAAATTAATTTGTATATTTTTAAATGTAAAAAATATTTTATTTTTATAAAAATAAATTTGTTAATGTACTTATATTTGTTTTTATTTTTGAAATATCTTAGATGTAATTTTCCTTATCCTATATACATATTAGACAATTCGAAATTAATTCAAGGGTTTCCTTATTACAAATGCTTTTATGCAATATAAAATATCTTTAATTTCTATCAAATCATAAAAACATGGCAACATATACAGCTGATTGAACTCTAAATATTGTATCCTTGTTCAGTTCCTTAAAATTGATTTTTTTAAAGATATTCACATAAAAAATTTTAAATAGAGATAAAACACAAAAAATATCTCGAAAATATATATGTACTTTAAAGAATCTTTAATTAATTTATCCTTGCTATATGTCTTTAAAAATTCGTACATAAAAAATTTGAAATTGAAATATAATAAATATACGAAAAATGTATGTAAGAATATCTCGAAAAATATATATTTTAAATAATCACTCATTTTTATTAAATAAAAAAAAAAAAACATGACAAAATATACAGCTGTATACAACTCAAAATGAAACTGATACTTCTAGAGATAGTCATGCATAAAAATTTTAAAATACAAAAAACTTATGTAAGTGTATCTTGAAAAATATATACATTATCTTTCATTTTAATCAAATCATAAAAAATGGCAAGATATACAGCTCATATAACTCTAAATAATTTATCCTTGCTTCAGTACTTTAAAATTGATATTTTTATATATATTCTCAGTTAAAAAACTTGAAATTGAGGTAAAAAAAACGAAAACCTTATGCAAAAATATCTCGAAAAATATATAGGTACTTTTAAGAGTTTTTTTATTTTTATTAAATCAAAAAAAAATCATGGCAAAATATATAATAGCTGTATACATCTCTAAATAATGCATCCTTGCTTTAGTTCCTTAAAATTGATATGTTTAGAAATTGAGATATAAAAATACAAAAATTTATGCAAGGATATCTCCAAAAATATATACAATAAAAAATCTCATTTTAATTAAATAAAAAAAAATATGCAGCTGATGGAAATAGAGAAGAATAATATATCCTTCCTTTAGTTCTTTAAAATTGATATTGATATTTGTTCATAAAAAAATTTGAAATTGAGATAAAAAATACGAAAAATATATAAGAATATCTTGAAAATATATTCTTTAAAAAATCTTTAATTTTTATCAAATCGTAAAAACATTGCAAAATCTACGACTGACAGAACTCTAGGTAAATATTGTGTCCTTGCATTAGTTCTTTAAAATTTATTTTTGAAGATATTTATACAAATTAAATTTAAAATTGAGGTATAAAATTACAAAAAAATATATATATATATTAAATAATTTTTCATTCTTATCAAATCATAAATACATGGCAAAATATATATTTGATAGAACTCCAACCTGGCTTCAGTTTTTAAAAATTAATATTTTTAAATATATTCGTACATAAAAAGTTTGAAAGTGAAAAATAAAAAAAAAAATACGAAAAACTTATGTAAGAATATCTCGAAAATATATACTTTAAAAGAATTACTTTATTTTTATCAAATCATAAAAACATGACAAAATTTACAGTTGTATACAACTCTAAATAATGTATCCTTGCTTTATAGTCTATTTTTATGTATGAGAGAGTATTAAAATAATAAAGCGTTCGTAATCCATAGGCGTATCACTTCTTTTAGTAGCAAGTTAAAATATTTTTTGAAGTTATTCCTCGAGTATACACTTATATTTTCACCTAATTAACCTGCTTATAACTTCTAAACAGCTGAAGGTAAAAAAGTGCAATTTTTTTTAAAATGTTTTATTTTTCCACAAGGTATGTTAAGAACATTGTGTCAAACGGGTTATGTAGGTATAAGCGTTTAAACTTTGACTTTTAAACAACGTTACGTTCATAAATAATAATTTTAATATAAAAACTACTTCTTACCTACAAATCCAAATCAGAATCGAAATCAGAAGATGAACTGTCGCAACCAATATTTAAAATGAGTGGCTCGATCATTTCATCAGTAATATTGTCCAACTTCCACATTTTTTCTTCTTCTTTAATCGTATGATTTACTGCCTTTTCCCAGTTTTCAGGCTTCACATTATTTACAGCCTTTATTTACTTACTTTACTTACTTCGCAATGATATGGTGGTGATCTAACCACCGTCATCCCACGATTTTTTGCAATTTCATCAATTTCATATTATTTGAATTTCTCTTTATGAAGGGAACACAAATGATACAGTTCTTTTCTCACAGAACCGGAATGGAACTTAATATTCTTTGAATTTAGCCAATTCTGTAAATTTTTTTTAACCACTTGGTTGTGGGCATTTTTTCTATAAGTCTCGAGTGATAACTTGCATTATCCATTACTATTATACAGTTCTGAGGAAGAAGATCTATAATTTGTTGTGTACTATTATTAGTCTGCGCCCCTTTCCTGATGGTGGATTTAAACCAGTAGATAAACTATTTAAAAAAGTCTGTCTTCGACTTGTAACAGTTTCATCTTGCCAAAATTTATTTGGTTTATGTCCCTCGTTGATCCATGTTTCATCTAAATAAAATATATTTCTTCTTTGGTTTCTCATTTCTTTTATAGTCCTTAGGTAATTTCTTCTCCATACTACAATATCGCTTTTTTCTATTAAAATAGGCTTTCTGGAATGATTTTTCCATAGAAAACCTATTTCTTTTAAAAGTTTCCATAGTGTGCTTCGACTCATTTCAGGGTAATCCTTATCATCTCGAACCGTGTCAAGAACTTTGTCTACTATCGAAAATTCTTTTCTAAAGAAGAACGCATGCACTTTCCTTCGAAGTCTTTCTTTCAAAAAATTTTCTAATTGAAATTTTGGTTTTCCTGGAGCTTTACGTGCTGTTTGAAACTCGCCACATTTCTCTTCTTTAACAACTCTGTAAATCGTAGATTTTCCAACACCAAGCGTACTACTAACTAATTCCACTGTATCATCAACACTTTTACATAAATGTTTGTTATAGACAAACATTTAAAACAATTATATATTAATGTTTTTTCATTAACTGTTAAAGGACCGATTTTTTGTCTTTTAGGCGGCCCTTCCAAATTTTCCATGATCACACTAGAATTCACACTGCACCTTGCAAGTTGCAACTAAACGACATTTAGTAAACTGTCAAGAATACACAACTTGGACCTCCTTACTAAATGGAAAACCTATAATCGCATTTTCGGTGAAATTTGTTGGGAAGGTATTTATCTACTTATAATTCGATTACTGTAAGAAATTCTTAGAATTGAAATAAAGCAAAATTGGAAAATAGGTACTTATTGAAAATAATCTTAAGATACGGCTATGTAATCTTTAATACACAGGGCTTTTGGCCTGTCCAAACCTTTTTCTATTGTTCTGTACAGCTTATGTTTATAAAGGACCAATAAAAGACACAAAACTTGTAATAGCTCAGGTACATTTATTACAATTTTCGGAAATATTTAGATTTTTCTGTAAAAATATTTAAAATGACCGTACTAAGTTTTGCATTAGAAATGCTGTTTTATTACTCTCTCATACATAAAAATAGACTATAGTTCTTTAAAATTGATATTATTAGAGATATTCATTAATAAAAATTTACGTAGACATATCTAGAAAAATATATACTTTAAAGAATCTTTCATTTTTATCAAATCATAAAATCATGGCCATATATACAGTTATGTACAACTCTAAATAATGCATCCTGGCTTTAGTTCTTTAAAAATGATATTTTTAGAGATATTCGTAAATAAAAAAAAATTAAATTGAGATTTAAAAATATGAAAAATTGATGTAAGAATATCACAAAAAATATATACTTTAAATAAGTCAAAAAAGAATACATTATTTACTTAAAGAGAATTGTCAAATTCTAAACTATAACCAAAATTTAAATTTAAGAAGTATTCTACAAAATAAGAGGAGTTAAGGGATCCTATACTATTGCAGTATTAATTAAGACTAATTAAAAACAAATGCACTGATTATTGTTGTTAAATAAATAATCCAACAAATCCTAACGAATTTACTGGATATTTTCTGAATTCAAATTTACTATATAATCGATATTTTTCTAAACAGAAGGCCATGAATGTATAATTGATCATATTTTCAATTTAAATCAACATTTGGTTCTGTAACTGAATTTAAAAATACTTTACTCTTTGGCATGACTCAATATTCTTGATTTTCCCTGTATACACTATAGGAAAAATTATAGGAACTTGCCATTTTATTTTTTTGTGTTCCATTTGAATCCGAGAGATATTTTACATATTATGGGATACCCAGTATGTGTGTAATGCAGCCTTATTTGACAGATGACCTTATTTAATTATTAATCTAAATGAAAAAATAAACAGTAATATAATATGCCTTCAAACGCAATTAAAACACATATCACATGAGCCGAAACATTATGAGTATGTAAACATTAATTAAAATATTCATATTCAAAATCATGAAAATTTTAATTAATTTTTATGGAAAAGTTTTAAAAATGTCTACTGGCAATTTTAGTCTTATTTTAAAACATTATTTTGGATTTTTCAAGATGTAGGTATATCTAATATAAACTACTATATTAAAAATAAAAACTATAATTTTAAACAGATGCTGATCAACTGAAAACGAAGATAAGTATTTTGAAAAATATCACACTTGGATTTAAAAATGCTTATTGTAAGTATTTTTTTGTGGTTTTCTTTTAAATAAATATTTGATAATCCTAAAAACACCTGTTACACAAAATATGTTGTTTAATGTATATATGTTATCGTTTTAATTACCTAGATAGGTTAAATTGCAAGAATGTTAATATTTTTTCAAAATAAAACAAACATCTTCTAATACTATACAAAAACATTCCTACAATTTATTTCTGTTATTTATAAAATATAATAGTAGTTAGTAGTCTTCTTAGATCAATATTGTAACTAACCATTTTCTTACCAAAATCTTACAGAGAACCGTTTACTTGGACTACCCCTACACTCCCACTACCTTAAGGGCTCTGGACTACCCCTTAAGCACCCCAATTAAGGCTTTGGACTACACCTATTATCCGTACTCTTACAGATATTACCGCCCTCTGTCGCTATACTATAACTACTACTGGCCTCTTAGCAGTCTTAATCGCTATAGCAGCTACTGGCCTTCTACCTATTATCCCTATTACAGAAACCTGTATTACAGATACACACTACCGTCCGATAGATACTATTATTTGAAAGATGTAAGTATTTTGGATTAAGCAGAGTTATGAATTATTTTATCTTTTATATAGAAGTCTTGAGGATGGTCTATATAATATTGAATATTTAATGCTTGACACATGTTTCGATAACAATGTTAGCACTTTTTTGTAAATTATTTATGACTTAAAGACTAACTAGACTTTAAATTGAATTAATATTTTTATAAAACAAGAATTTATAAGTAATTAATTATAATCAATAAAGAAAAGTACATTCCCAATTTATACATTTCGATTATATAGGGCACATAGGTGATAAGTACGTTTTTTGTCCGTTTGAGATAAAGTATAAAGCAGTAGAAAAATGTTGCATTTCAGGTAAAAGGTATTGTAGAGTTTAGGCGAATACGTGTTCATCGAGTAGGAGTCAGAAAAGTAGTCTTTTTTCAAAAAATATCGCACGAGATCACTTCATTGAGTAGCTTAAAAAGAAAAGAAAAGATAGTTGATTGTTTCGGCTTTTACTTGATCAAAATCTATATTTTCTAAATAAGGAAAATCAAACTTAGTAGATTTTCACAAGCACTTTTATTTAAAAAAATTAAAATAAAAATCCTTCATGACAATTGTGTTGAAGTAAAACTTCTTCTTCAAATGTGACTAATTTACTTTTCGGTGTCTAATATACAATATGTCTCACTAAGTTGGAATCATATGGAAATTTTTTTTCTTGATAAAAAAATTGGCCGAAAACTTAAAATGCAATCATTAGATATCAATTCTTTTAAACCGTATACGAGGTTAGTCAAAAAATATGATTTTTGCTGAAGAGTAAAGTACCTTTATTTTTGACAAACCTCATATACGACTAATAAAATTTAATATCCGATGGATGTACCTTAAGTTTTAGACCATGCTAACTTATTATGAAGAATAACTGTTTTTTCAAATATTAATAATAAAAATGTTTTTCATATGCCACCAACTGTCTACGTATTTCATAGTATACCTTCTAAAGCAACAGTTAACCTACTAGAAAACTTATTAAATCGTAATCAAGTCAATATTATAATCGAAGAGAAAATCCTAAATTTGGTTAACATTTGCATAAATCAATTTCAAAATAATATCTACTCAACAGATGAAGGTCTTACTATGGGTAACTCATGCAGAAATATTTATGGATTATAGAATGTAAAATTCAGAGCAATAATTTAAGTAAATACTGCCTTTATTAGTATAGATATGTTGACGACATATTGAGTGCTTTCACTGGTACTAGTGGACAGTTAAATTCTTTAATAATTTTTATTAATAATATAGACCCAAATATTAAATTTAATATGGAAATAGAGAAGGATAATTTAATACATTTTTAAACTAAAATGTCATTAGATACTTTATATCACATACATAATAATTCCACACATCCATATAAACAAAAGTTAGCAGCATGCGAAATAAGGTCATAAGAGAAGAATCTTGAAACTACAGTATAAACAATTACATTACGCATGATAGGCATTACATCAAGGTATACAAGTATTATGATTGTAGGAATTCACTTAGATTTAATTAGGACTGTGGGCCATGTGGACTCCCCCACCTCGACCTTTTCAGATCTATTGTGGATATCCTTGAATCGTTCTTTAGAGTACCTTGTCTAATTCGGTCTTTTGTAGTAGACTCCATAGACTGGGAAGTATGTCTCCGGTATAGCTAGTTGCCCTTGGTTTTTCTTCTCTAAGCGTAAGGAATCTCAGTCTTGCTAGACCTTCGCAGTAGCACAATACGTGTACTGTCATTTCCTCCTCTTCCTGACAGAATCGGCAAAAGGTCTCTTCTGTCAGACCGATATTATACATATGTTTGGTAAGTCTACAATGCCCTGTTAATAGACCTACTAGTACTCTAGTATTTTTTCTATTAAGGCTTAGTAGATGCTCCGTGAGTTTAGGCGATGGTCGTTTTAAGAACTCTTTGGCCTGTCCTAGAGAGTTTTTCCACCACTTCTGAGATTTTTTAAACATCCACTGCTTTGTGCATGTTCTGATAGTTGTTTTTGTTATACCATAGAAGGGTTCTGGGCCAATAAGAGCATTTGAAGCTCCTTCTCGGGCTAGTAAATCAGCCTCTTCGTTGCCCTTATGTCCTCTGTGGTCTGGTATCTAGGTTAGTCTGTTTTGACTACCCAGCTTCACTAGGGCTTCCAAACAGTCCCACACAAGCTTTGAGTGTACCTGCATGGAACTGAGTGCCTTTAACGTCGCTTGACTGTCTGAGTATATGACAGAGGTTTTTCCATTTACCTTCTGTCTTAATACTTCTTTTGCGCAGTGATGTATTGCTGCTATTTTTGCCTGGAATACTGTTGCATGTTTACCTAAGCTCAGTGAGATTCTTGTCTTTGGCTTGGTACTATATATACCTACTCCTGAACCTTCATGGGTTTTGGAGCCGTCCGTATACCAGGTGAATACTGCATGAATAGGAGGTCCTCGCTTCCCTGTCTGGTATACTTACTTTATATTGCTTTTGAAAGCTATACTTTGAAAACATTTCATCTGCAGGCATTCCCATTATTTGGTCGTTCTCCAACTCTTTATATAGCTCGCTGTAGTCGCGTCCATGCAAACTGCTTATGGGTGATGAATCTTTGTGCAGTCTGTATGTGACAGACCTGGCTTCGCCTTGAATGAATATATTTAGTGGTGTTAGGTTTAGCATGACTTCTATAGCTGCTGTTGGAGTCGTTCTCATAGCTCCCGTGGTGCTCAGGCATGCTTGCCTTTGAATACCATTGAGCTGTCGAATGGCTCCAGCTTGCCGAGTCTTTGGCCACCATACAACCGACCCGTAGGTTATCATCGGCCTTATAACTCTAGTATATAACCATAGGGACATTTTCAGTTGGAGTCCCCAATTTTTTCCACACAACCTTCGACATAAGTTGAAGGATGTTGTGCTCTATTGGGTGACTTTTTGCAAGTGTTGATTCCATGTTAACCTATGGTCAAAGATGACTCCTAAGTATTTGGCCTCTTGAGCAAATGGAATCTTCACTCCTTTCAGTACTGGTGACTTTAGTCCTGTTGGTACTTTTCGTTTTGTAAAGTTGACTATTGTGGTTTTGTGAGGGTTTACTGTTAGTTCCTCCTCTCTGCACCACTCGTCAACAATGTTTAGAGCAGTTTGTGTGCGCTCCGATATTGTACCTGCGAACTTGACTCTTACGACGATCGCCAGATCATCAACATACCCTAGGCAGTAGAAATTTGCAGATATTAGCCTTTTTATAAGTTCGTCCACTAGGAATGACCAAAGGAGGGGTGATAGTACTCCTCCCTGGGGACAGCCCCTGCCTGCTTTAGCTGTCAGTGTAGCTTCGCCTAGAGATGATGGTATTACCCTTTCTTCTAGACTGGCTTTTATCCACTGACATAGGACTACTGGTACCCCTTTCATTGTTAGGGCGTTAATTATATATCTTGTTTGGGCATTACTAAAAGCTCTTTCAATATCTACGAAAGTTTCTACTGCCATTTCTTTATCCTCCAGGGATTTTGACAATAGTCTGTTGAGATCATTCAGGGCCAAATCGGTTGACTTGCCTGGCTGATATGCATATTGACGGTCACTGAGAGGGTTGTCTCTCAGTATTTCGTCTCGTATATATCTATCTATTAGTCTTTCTAGCGTTTTCAGCATGAATGACGATAGACTGATTGGGAGGTACGACTTTGGTGTCATATCATTAAACCTTCTTACTTTAGGAAGGTATATGACTTTCACCTTTTGCAAAGCCTTTTGAATATGTCGCCAGGCTATACATGCTATAAATATGCGACACATGTGGAATTAAAGTTTCCTGTCCTTTTTGTAGTAGAATGGGATATATTCCATCTACTCCTGGGGATTTGTATGGTTGAAATTTGTTTGTAGCCCATCTAATTTTGTTCGGCCTCGATATTTCTGTCTAGCCTCCATTCCTTCTTTGAGGGCTGTATGCTACTATCGGGCCTAGGAATTCACTTAACGTGTATGGTTCTAAATCAACTAAAAATTGAAATAATTTAGTTTTTAGCTACTTTAATTGATCTATAACTTTCAGGTGCATGATGAGATTATTATAAATTGTGATGAATATATAATATGCTCCATTTTGGCTCATTGTTGGATATGTATAATTTATTGATCTTGTAGGATATGTATATTGTGGCTGGTTTTACATTAAATAGAGCCCCATTTTTATTGAAAAATAATACTGTTTCTTGACTATATGTATAAGGCTGTCGTTGTCAAAATTTTGTATTTTTTAAATTTACCTCTACAGGAGTGCCAAATCCTATACCTAATATTATCCTTAGTGATCTTTTTTGACAGTCAAATAACTTTTCTATATCACTACAGTTTCTAAATAATACAATTCCATATCCAATGTGACTTTCAATGATGGAATGAAAAACCATTTTAGTATTAGAAAATCAACATATTTCTTGACGTTTAATGTATATGTTAATTTTTTTCCTGACTTATTCTATGTGTTGTAACCATAGATTTTAGATTAGATTAGATTTAATTAGGACTATGGGCCATGTGGCCTCCCCCACCTCGACCTTTTCAGATCTATTGTGGATATCCTTTAATGATTGTTTAGAGTACCTTGTCTAATGCGGTCTTTTGTAGTAAACTCCATAGACTGGAAAGTAGTTCTCCGGTATAGCTAGTTGCCCTTGGTTTTTCTTCTCCAAGTGTAAGGAATCTCAGTCTTACTAGACCTTCGCAGTAGCACAATACGTGTTCTGCCGTTTCCTCTTCTTCTTGACAGAATCGGCACAAGGCCTCTTCTGTCAGACCGATATTGAACATATGTTTGTTAAGCCTACAATGCCCTGTTAATAGACCTACTAGTATTCTAGTATTTTTCCTATTAAGGCTTAGTAGATGCTCGGTGAGTTTAGACGATGGTCCTTTTAAGAACTTTTTGGCCTGTCTCTGTCCTGGTGAGTTTTCCCACCACTCCTGAGATTTTTTAAACA